TTTTATTGTCAAATCTGCTGTGAAATGGAACAATACGATTAGGAAGAACATAGGGAATGTATAGCCCTACATATTTTTAAAATGATGACTTTTTAGAATTTAGTGTAAATAATTCAGTATCTACTATACAGTATTCTTAGTTTTGATGTTTGTAGTTGTTTCCCCTTTTACCTTTCTAACGCAACATTGTAATGGGTAAATTTAATTTAGTCTTTGACTACGATTTGCTCAAATTAAAGCTATTATTATTATTCCTGATTGGACAATTTGAATTTGAGGTATAATATTATATACTGTACATTGCGTTATCAGTGAACATTATATACATTGCATTATCAGTGAACATTATAAACATTGCATTATCAGTGAACATTATATACATTGCATTATCAGTGAACATTATAAACATTGCATTATCAGTGAACATTATAAACATTGCATTATCAGGGAACGTTATGTCATACCGATAGATTTTATTTTTGATGAGGTAGTCAACCCTCAAATGGAGCTAGGCTATGCCACATTCTCGTACTCAGAGGCCGTTTTACACGCGGTCAATAGCATGACGAGGGTCGAGGAGTACGAGAATGGATTGTGCCACAACTGCAGATCAAAGTTTAGCCTCTGAACGAGAACAAAATGTTTTTGGAGTTAGCCAGTAACTCCAGGCTTAGATAACTAGCTTTTTCTTGATTTTTTTGAGTTATACTCAGCTCCAAATGATTTTTGGAATTAGCCAGTGACCCCACAATTCATATTTTAATTAACTCAGTTAGTTTTGAATTGAACAAGTTACTCAAGTGTGTATTTTGGTTTGGAGTTAGACCTTTAGACTTTGGAGGTAGCGTCGCTCCATTACTTCCTACTTTCTGCAGCCATGCGTTATGCACTATTTAAAGCACGCGTAGGAGTGTTTTATCATATTTAATTATACATGAAACGTTATATACATTGCACTGTCAGTGAACGTTATGTTTAGAACAATTTGTGTTCATATTCCTCTACATATATTACACAGTCATGTTACATTGAGAATGATTTATAGTTGCGTTTGGTGAACTAAACAATGTTGAACGTCAGAGCTTCAGACATCCAGGTAATAGCTTCTTTCCTGCATTGCGGAGTATTTCATTTCGCCAAAAAAATATTACGCAATTCCATGTCGAGTTCATGCCTAAACTTGTGCTTCCCCAGAGGCGAAGCAACGTCAAGGTATCTTCGCTAAGCAGATCAGTTGAAGTGGCCCTTAATACAATGTACACAAGAAGTGGAGTTAAACAGACGAAGAAACAGGCAACAGCCAACAAGCAGGTGCTGCCCTTTTTCAAAAGTGCCAACTGCGTCCTGGATGCTTGTTCGTTGCGTTTTGCTTTGGCAGCTATTGTGAAAACTCTGTAATTCATGACAACCAAGAAAATCATTTCAGTTCCCATGATTAGAGACGCCCCGCCGTAGTAGATTGCCTTGAAACCTTTGAAGAATCGAAACGTTAGTGCCACAATATACAGCAACTGCATCATAACTGAAAGTGCCAAAAGCCGTCGTTTCGTCACATGGATTCTGTGAAAGAATGGTCGCGTTATTGCGAGGTACCGATCGATGGTCATCGCCAGAAGTGTGGATAAAGTAAAAGTTTGGCTGTAATGGGAGGCGTACATTACCACTTCAGCGAGGTGGTATCCATCACTTTCTGATCTGGTAGACCAATGTGCTGAACTGTTGTCGGTTCTTGACCAAGGCACAGTGATTAAAATGACTGCAGGATGTCCAACTACGATGGCAAGTAGATCGAACGAGGAAAGAAGAAGAATCATAAAGTTACCAGTTCCTTTGCGAAGTTTGGCTGACTTCCACAGGCAGATAATAACGACTGAATTGAGAAATATCCCCGCGAGTGAGAAGAAACCGTTTACAGTGCAAAGTAATATCAAATTGATGAACCGGTACCACACCATGTTGTATTGTGTCAGGTCTGTAACAGTTTACAGTTGAGAATGTTCCCACAAAGTGTACCTGGCTTGGTCTCTCAATTTTTTTTCTCTTATATAACTTCCAATTGTTTTACATCCCATGCATTAGCGGCAACTGCAAAGCAACTCAATCACCTGAAAGATCAGATTTGAAACAATATTGGCGAGGAAGGAAACTTACTATCTTGATAGAAATTGCTCATCAGTGGCGTTAAATTGGCCAGTGATTAATTAACTATAGAGATCGCACAATATGGTCTCATTATCTACAATCTGCGAATAGTAATAATAATTTATTAATTCAACTGATTTTGTAACCAAAGATTAAATTACATTAGTGGGAAGACTATAATACAATGGTAATATAATTCCCTTTTTTGAACCCTTTCAATATCATCACTCAAGAAGATTAAGAAGAATGTAAGGGGGAAAATTTTTTAATTGCTAACAGAGACATGAATTATGTATACATACCCCTGAGAAGAGCTTGTGGATAACGTAGCTCAAACCGACTTGTTAGAAAACACGTCCGAGAAATGGGCCTGTGAAATTAGTATATCCGAACTATACTTGCATGGCACTGGCTCGATAGTCGATACCTTCGCTACAAGTCGCTCAACCCGTTGGAATAATATCCCGCTAACTTCGAGAATTAGGCAGAAGACGAGAACGACTTCAAAGACTACGCAACAACATTAAATTTGATGCGGCGCCAAATATAATGACTTGGACGTGGAATTATTTTGTATCGCATGAATAAATGTAGTAATTAACGTCTAGAGCCGGTTGTATAAAAAAAGTAATAAAAGTTAACTGTACAGCTAGTGCAAAAGTTAATCAATCCAAATCCCGTATTTAAGAGTTAACTACTATTTAACTACAAAACGGGCAGTTAAAAAGTAATTAAACATTTTATACAACCGCTCCGTGCAATTTTAAAATCCTAATATTAAAAAAAAAAACAATACACCGGCAGCTGACGATATGCGTATAGGAAATTATACACTTGTTCTCGAAATATTAATGAAAAATCACACCTGTATTTGGCGAAATATCTATAATACTCTCAGTTCTCGTTACCATTTTATAAGTCGTTGCCGGGTCCGACCACATTTTGATCATTGCTGTAGCATCCGGACAATTTAGGGAAGGTCTTGGGATGCAAGCTTCAAAAATTACAAAATGGAGCTGCACGGATTATTACAGCTAGGGTCCGACTATAGTGTTCGTTCAGCCGAGATCCTGAACTCGCTAAACTGAGATAACTTAGAGAAAAGACCGTCCTAGCGTCCCTCTGATTCAAAGCGTTTTGCCCCAAAAGACCTTTGACTGAGCCGCTTAAGAAACGTTTCACGTATAGAGGAACCGTCCTGTCGAATAGCCTACCTGACGAAGCTGTAAATGCCGTTATAAATTTCGAAACATAGTTAGACAATCCTGATTTCTTCTATTTTTCTTTAGTATTGTGAGTATTAGTTGTAATTGACATTGTAATTCTACTATGTAGATATTTTAGTGTGCACGGCTCCATGGAAGAGCACATATTGTGAGATGGACTCCGTGTGGAAATAATAATAAAAGTTTTAATAATAATAATAATAATAATAATAATAACCCACTCGCGGTATTATAAATATTTCGCCAAACACGCGTGCGATTTTTCATTAATACTTCTCGAATCGTGTAATTTCCTATACCAATATTATTTTAGTCAATTTTACTGAATGACAAGAAACATTGTATTTTATGTATTCAGAAACTGTGAATAATTTTCTTTTTTCTTTTTTTTTCGTTAATTGCAAAATAAGAGCTCAGAAAATATACATTTTCACGTTTGTTCATTTTTTGTTTAAATTTTGTGTTCAAATTTATGCACTCACGTGAGCGTGCAGAATGCACGCGGGCTCGTAATCGTGACGATTAATCTTTAATCGGCACAATGTGCCGATTACTTTTTAATCGGCCTAGTTTTTAACCAATCAGAATCGAGTAAATTGACTAAAATGATATTGGAAAAAATATATAAATTAAACAAACTAAATACAATCCAAAAGTTAATATATACGATGACTTACAACAGGCTGGCCAAAATGGACTCGTGATATTTCGATTTTACTTCTAAAGCATCATCTGACCAACAAATGATAATAAGTGATGATGATTTTGTAATAAATTCGTAATGCGCAAACTTATTCTCGTCTTGTTTTTGCTTATATCTTTGAGTTTTATGATGCTAACTTCGGATAACTCTGTTCTTCTTATGACTTGAGTGCTTCCGAGTTGCATGCATCCTCGTTCCCAGGGCCTCTCGGCCGCGCGCGATTTTATAGGCCCTGGGATACACGGAAGTGCAAGAAAACTTGCAGTAATTTCTAAAGCGCATACATGCTCTTGAATCTTCAGCACCGGTAACAATTTTCACAGTGAAGTATTACGAAGAAACGAAGTATTTGTGTTGACATATTTGATAGTATCACTTTGCCTAGCGAAAACTGCTCAACTTCTGGAAAATAGCAGTTCTCTGAGAAGCCAATCAGATATCTCCCTTTAGTCGTCGAGGTGTCTAACCCAGAGCCTAATTTTCAACGAGTGACCGAGTGAAAATGGCTCTGGGGACGTGAATGAGCTGCGTGTGTCGGATCGCGAAACTCTAGTTTTATATGGCGATTAAACAACGTCGAAGTCGAAAGGGGTCAATCTTAATAATGCCGAGCTTCTGGCTGTGGATATAAGTGAAACAAAACAGACTCATGCAGTACTAAAATGCTGTACTTTACAAATAAAACTTTTCGACTCCAAGTAAAGTTTATAACTACGCTACACAGTAAAAACAAATTGGTTAAAATCACCAAAAAAAATTGGTCGTTTGAATGCGTCTGAGACAACCAGTTTAAATTGGTCGTTTTAACCAAAAAAGTAATTGGTCAAATTGACCAATTATTTAATTGGTCAAATTGACCAATTATTTATTGGTCAAAACAACCGGAAATAATTGGTTGTTTTGACCAATAAATAAATGGTCAATTTGACCAATTAATTATTTGGTTAAAAAGACCAATTTAAACTGGTTGTCTCAGACGCATTCAAACGACCAATTTTTTTTGGTCATTTTAACCAATTTCAAATGACCAAATTAAGGCTAAATTGCAGAATACCCGTCCACTTTTGAAGGTATCCCTTGTTATCATGATACGATGATACGAAGTGAGAATGATTACGCTTGTTATCATGATACGATGATACGAAGTGAGAATGATTACGTAATAACTATATGACCGCGCTATTATAAAAGCCTGGGTAACCTATATTATTGCGTGATACGATGATACGAAGTAAAATAGCACGTATACAGTATATGTGTTTGCCTCGTTCTTTGAAAGACATGTATATCTCTTTGTCTCGTTCTTTGAAAACCTTACCCGTGGGCCATATCTAATTATTTATAAATCCAAAAATATAGCTTACCCAGACTTTTATAATGGCGCAGATATATAGTTATTACGTAATCATTTTCACTTCGTATCATCGTATCAGCCAAAAATATAGCTTACCCAGACTTTTATAATAGCGCAGTTATATAGTTATTACGTAATCATTTTCACTTCGTATCATCGTATCAGCCAAAAATATAGCTTACCCAGACTTTTATAATAGCGCAGTTATATAGTTATTACGTAATCATTTTCACTTCGTATCATCGTATCAGGCAAAAATATAGCTTACCCAGACTTTTATAATAGCGCAGTTATATAGTTATTACGTAATCATTTTCACTTCGTATCATCGTATCATCGTATCAGGCAAAAATATAGCTTACCCAGACTTTTATAATAGCGCAGTTATATAGTTATTACGTAATCATTTTCGCATCGTATCATCGTATCAGCCAAAAATATAGCTTACCCAGACTTTTATAGTAGCGCAAATATATAGTTATTACGTAATCATTTTCACTTCGTATCATCGTATCATCGTATCAGACAAAAATATAGCTTACCCAGACTTTTATAATAGCGCAGTTATATAGTTATTACGTAATCATTTTCACTTCGTATCATCGTATCATCGTATCAGGCAAAAATATAGCTTACCCAGACTTTTATAATAGCGCAGTTATATAGTTATTACGAAATCATTTTCACTTCGTATCATCGTATCATGGTATCAGGCAAAAATATAGCTTACCCAGACTTTTATAGTAGCGCAAATATATAGTTATTACGTAATCATTTTCACTTCGTATCAT